AAAAACAAATGTCCATGGCTCTCCTCTTCCTGTCTACAAAAGATGCAAAATGTGTCTGTGGTAATGAACTTCAGTCTATCTTTAGTTCGGAGCTTCCCAAGCATAGCTAGCCATAATATGAAATTGCATCTGGCTAGAGACCATTACTCCCAAACAATTTTCTCCCAGGAAACAGCTGAGCTTTGGGGCCTGAGGGAGGCGTAGGCGTTAGCAGTGAATCCACCTTCTCTCCGCTCCCAGTTTGTCATTAAATCAATAACTAGTAGATGACTCCCATAGTTCTGGACGAGCTGGTTTTTTAGGAGAATGATAGACTTCCACAATGGTGACGAAGCTTTTTGAATCTGAGCATTCCAAATGGAGTAGGCGTTTAAATAGTAGTGATGTATCCATCGTATCCAAATGGAGTCCTGCTTCTGGTGGATGTTCCAGAGATGTTTGGCAATGAAACTGTTATTACTTATTTGAATATTAAGTAACCCCAATCCTCCTTCATTTTTTGGCAGGCAAACCGTTTTCCATGCCACAAGAGCAGACTTACTACGGCATACATCTCCTGTCCACAGGAAGTTTCGACAAAGACAGGTAATATGTCTGATGACAGCACATGGCAAAGGGAAAATGCTAACCCAAAATTGCACCATACCATATAAAACTGACTTAATGAGCTCCAGCCTACCAGCGTATGAAAGATGTTTACCCACCCATCCTTGAATAGCTGCTTCTAGCTTGTGGAGAAGAGGTGAGAACTGACTTGCAAGAAGCCTGTGAGGGCTGAGAGGAACACCTAGATACCTGAAAGGGAAGGAGCCTTCAGAAAAACCAGTGTCTAGCAATATGGCTTGCTTCAAACTCACAGCAACCCCACCAAAATAGATCGATGATTTGGAAGTATTAATATCTAGGCCAGATGTTTTCTCAAAGAGTAGCACTTGCTGGAGTAGAATTTGAACTGAACACTTATCCCCTCGGCATAGCAACATGACATCATCAGCAAAGGAAAGATGAGAAATACCAAGTGGCTTGCATTTTGGGTGAAAATGGAATGAATGATTCTGGGATACCAAGCTAAGCATCCTAGAAAAATATTCCATGCAAGTGATGAATAAATATGGGGACAAGGGATCCCCTTGCCGCACCCCGCATTTTCCAGGGAAAAATCCAAACAGCTCCCCATTGACAGCCACTGAATATGAAGCTGTTTCCACGCAAGTCATCACCAGATGAATAAATCTATGAGGGAATCCAAGGAGGAGAAGCAGACGCCGTAAGAATGCCCATTGCACTAAGTCAAAAGCTTTCCTGAAATCAATTTTTATAAGACATCTAGGGGAGGCTCGTTTCCTTTGATATTCCCTGAGAAGCTCCTGCAATAGATTGATATTATCAGCCATGCGACGACCACCTAGAAAGGCATTTTGCATGGGGCTGATGATGGTATCAAGAGCATTCCCCAACCTGCTAGCTAGGATTTTTGAAATGATTTTATAAACAACGTTACAACAGGAAATGGGCTGATGATGGTATCAAGAGCATTCCCCAACTTCAGTCTTGGAAGTTGTAAGAGATCCATTATTGTGTTGAATAGCAGGAATGAAGTTCATCTTGTGTCTGTGACTCATCAAGGTGTGGAAGAACCTAGTACCTCTATCACAGTCCTTAAAGAAGCTGCATTTCAATTTCTGGCTGTAGAACATTTTCTCCGCTGATTTAAGGTTGACAAGTTCCAAGCGAATCTTTTTATCCTGAGCCAGCAAATGTTCATTGTCCTTGTCATTATACAAAAGAGCTTGGTGCTGCTCCAGGTCATCCTCAGCTCTGTAGACTCTCTCTGAAATGTGACCAAAGTGTAACTTGTTAAGCTGCTTCAGAGGTGCCTTCAGAAGCTTGAGCCGCCTGCATAAAACATACATTGGAGAGCCGTGAACCGCTGTTGCATTCCATTTCTACAAGAGGAGGGATTTAAAATCTTGATGCTCAGCCCACATGTTGAAGAACTTGAAGCTAGCTCGCTTTCTTAGATACGGGGGGCCAATACAGACTGATATGGGAGAATGATCTGAGAAGGCACCTGGAGTGCTGAAATGCACATGAACTAAGAGCTCTTTCTTTCTTTTTTTTTTTTGATCAAATGTAAGAATTGTATACATCAAAAAGAAGCTGGAGACCAGCAATACAAGGAAAAGGGAACGAAGTCCCTTTTCTAAAACAAAAGCAAGACAAGCTTGCTGGTTAGAAGGCAAAAGGGATCAAACTCCCTTGTACAAACCATAATCAAGGCAAGCTTAGTAAATAGAAGCAAACTAAGGGAACAGACTCCCTGTATCAACCTAGAATCAAAGGGAACAGACTCCCTCGAACAAATATCAAATCCATAAGGCAAAACAACAATCATACAATGAGAACATCGGCTAGGGTAAACCAGCAGCAAAAATTCTTCCAAATCTGGCAACATTGAGGAGATCATCCATGCAGACACTGCTCAACCTAGAGAAGGAGAGACCACTCAACCATGAGAAGCCACTTACTTCTTAAACCCCATGAATGAACGAGGAACAGAAGCTAGACCATGTGGGGACAGGATAAACATGCATGCACGTTAATCTACCCCCATCAATCCAATCAGAATGCAACATTGTAAGCCAGGTGATTTTTTTCATGAAAATACAATATAGTGTAAAATAGTATCTGAAATTTTCTGAAAACAGCCTCAACTGATTTACTAGTGCTGTAAAAAATTCTCTTGTTTCTTTCCTCCCAAATCAAATACACAAGCACAGCAAGGGATACTCTTCTCATTCTCGGCTGAAGCCCTTTTTTGTTGTTTTGTAGAACCCTGGTGGTTGTACTTAAGGAAGCCATATTGCTGTAAAGCTTGAGCCAGAATCTGACCTTTCTCCAAAGGGAAGATGACCAGTCACAATTGAAGAAGAGATGAGCATGAGACTCATTAGCGCTCTGACAAAGAGGGCATATAGGGTCAGGGGATAGAAATTGAAGACGATCTCTCGTTCGTAGCTTGCCCAACATTGCCAGCCATAATGAGAAGCTATGTCTTGGAAGAGACCATTGCTCCCAAACTACGTTAGCCCAATGAACAGGATCCGATTTATGCCTGAAAAAGTCATATGCATTGGCTGTAAAAGTACCTGTTCCAGAGTGCCAGCTTGAGAACAACTGCTGAACGGGTGCAACCCCTCCACAATGGATAATCATTATGTTACGAAGGGAAAAGATTGACTTCCACAAAGGAGAGTCGGTTTTTTTTTACATCCAACAACCAGATTGAGGCTTGTGCAATGTAGTAATGGCTTACCCATCGAATCCAGAGGGAATCAGCTTTCAAGTGGATATTCTAGAGATGCTTGGCGAAGAAACTATCATTTCTAGCTTTGATGTCAAGGACCCCCAGACCCCCTTCATCTTTTGGTAAACATACTTGCTTCCAAGCTACAAGAGCAGATTTATTTCTAAGCATGTCTCCAGTCCATAGAAAATTCCTGCACAAACTGGTAATCTTGCTGATAACAACAGCTGGGATAGGGAAGATACTAATCCAAAACTGCACCACGCCATGCAGGACAGATTTGATTAACTCTAGCCGACCTGCATAAGAGAGATACTTTCCCATCCAATTCTGAATAGCAGATTCTAACCTGTGAATGAGAGGGGAGAATTGGCTGGCAAGAAGCCTATGGGGGCTGAGAGGGACACCGAGGTACTTAAACGGAAAGCTTCCTTCGGTGAACTGGGAGAGGCTAAGGATGGCTTGCTTCATATTCTCCGATACACCAGCAAAAAAGATAGAGGATTTGGATGCATTAATTACAAGGCCAGAAGACTCCCTAAAAATTGTAAGTTGCTGGAGAAGAATGTTAACGGAGGCCATGTCACAACGGCAGAGCAGGAGAATATCATCAGCAAAACCAAGATGGCTGATTCCCAAAGCTTGACATTTTGGATGGGAATTGAAGTCCGACCACTGAGTGGTGCTTTTTAGAAGTCTAGAGAAGTACTCCATGCTGATAATGAAAAGATAGGGAGACAATGGATCTCCTTGCCGAACACCACACTTGCCTTGGAAGAATCCAAACAGATTACCATTGACGCAAACGGAGAAAGAGGCAGTCTCTACACATTTCATAACCAGATGAACAAACCTAGCAGGG